CTCCGTCCCGCAGCCATGGCGATCCGGTACCCCATGGCCGTGGGCCTCAACAAGGGCTACAAGGTGACCAAGAACGTGTCCAAGCCCCGGCAGTGCCGCCGCCGCGGGGTGAGTATGAGCCGGGCCCGGGCCTGGCGGGAGGGCCGAGCCCAGGTGCGCGGTACCGGACACCCGTGGCTGCCGGGAACGGGGAGGCGCTCGCGGGCTGCTGGCCCGGGACCGCGCGGCCCCGAACGAGCGAGGTGCGGCTGCAGAACGCGAGGTGGCTCCGGGGGGGGGGCCGGGTGTGGAGCCCCCGAGCTGCAGGGACCGGGGCAGCGGCAGCCGCAGGAGTGGGGGGGGTGAGCGTTAAACCCGTGAGGGTGGGTGCGAAGCAGCCGGTATCGGTACCGGCAGAGCGGCAGCGGAGGAAGGCAGATGCATGGGAAGCAGTCGGAGTGCAGTCAGCACACAAGCTGCTCCTGTCAGTAAGCGCAGGCGCCCCCAGACCAGCCCGGTAATGACCAGTATCGGTTATCCAGGTTCAGGGAATGCTCACAAAGAGGAAACGGCACCTGGCAGCTTTTACCTGCTTTGATGAAACTCTTTCGATGTGGTGTTTGACTCACACAATCCCAGCCTGGTTTGGGGTGGAAAGGACCTCAAAGCTCCTCCAGCCCCAACCCCTGCCACAGGCAGGGACCCCTTTCACTGGAGCAGCTTGTTCCAAGCCCCTGTGTCCAACCTGGCCTTGAACACACTGGGGCCTCAGCCCAGTGTTCGGGGGATGCTTGGCTCTCCAGTGTGAGTCAGTCAGTGCTGATGTTCTTGGATTCATGGATTTCTCCTGCAGCGTCTGACCAAACACACCAAGTTTGTGCGAGACATGATCAGGGAAGTCTGCGGCTTTGCGCCCTATGAGAGACGTGCCATGGAATTGCTGAAGGTTTCCAAGGATAAACGTGCTCTGAAGTTCATCAAGAAACGGGTAGGTCCAGCTGCCATCATCAGAGGATCCCAGCCTGGTTTGGGTTGGAAGGGATCTTAGGCTCCTCCAGTTCCAACCCCTGCCACGGGCAGGGACCCCTTCCACTGGAGCAGCTTGCTCCAAGCCCCTGTGTCCAACCTGGCCTTGAGCACTGCCAGGGATGGGGCAGCCACAGCTTCTCTGGGCTGAGAAGAGTGGTGGGAATGCTCCTTGGGTTGGGTGGGAGACAGACACAAGGGCCCCAAGGCCCAGGAGCCCTCACTTTGCCTTTGGTCTTTCTGCATCATTTGTAAATCTGGTGTTGGGAAGAGGAGGAAAAATCCTGGGATAGAGGCTGGGAACCATTCACCAGGTTGGGGGTTCACTGAGGGCAGCTTTTACCTTGTCTCAAATAATTGAGTACAATGAGATGCAGTGGTGAGAAGTTCCTGACTGGACAGCCAGGGCAAATGGGGCCTGAGCTTACCAGGACTTTACCATTTGGAGTGAAGGAATGAAGGGCATTCATCCCCAGTGGCTGTCCTGGGTAGCCAAGAAGCTGTGTTTGTTTCCTGCTGGAATGATGCTGACTGCTCTGCTCTGCCCTCAGGTCGGCACTCACATCCGGGCTAAGCGGAAGAGGGAAGAGCTCAGCAATGTCCTGGCAGCCATGAGGAAAGCTGCTGCAAAGAAGGACTGAGTTCCACAATCTCTAATTCAATAAAGTCCTTTCTTACCAGATGAGTGCCGTGACTGACAAGTGGTGCCTCTGCTTCAGCCTGCCCAGGCTTTAAGCCTGGAGTTGTTTCTGGTGGTACTGAGCCATGATATAGTGGGGAGAAACGTGTCCCTCAGCAGCTCAATCACAGACTCGGCTAGGCTGGAAATGAGATCAAGCCCAGCTGTCCCCCAGCACTGCCAAGGCCGCCACTACCCCATGGCACCGAGGGCCTCGTCTACATGGGGTGTGAACACTTGCAGGGATAGTGACTGCAGCACTGCCCTGGTCAGGCAGTTGTAGGGAGCAGTAAGGTCCCCCCTGAGCCTTCTCTTCTCCAGACTGAACCCCCCAGGTCCCTCAGCCATTCCCCATTACCCCTGTGCTCCAGGCCCTGCACCAGTTCTGCTGCCCTTCCCTGGCCCAACTCCAGCACCTCAATGTCTCTCTTGTAGTGAGGGGCCCAGAACTGAACACAGGATTTGAGGTACAGCCTCACCAGTGCCCAGTGCAGGGGCACAGTTACTGCCCTGGCCCTGCTGCCACACTGGTGCTCGTATAGGCCAGGATGCTGGTGACTTCTTGGCTGCCTGAGCACACTGAATGCATGAGCTCTGCTGAACTGGCTCTTGAATTTCAGTTTCCCCTTATAAGTCAAGACAGGGAGAGGTTTCTGCAAGGCACTTCCACTACCAGCACCTCAGGAATGTGATCTCTGTGAATCACACCTCCAAGCTCTGCTTGCAGTTAAATGTGTTTTTTCCCCATCAGCAGAGCAATGACTGAAAAATCTGTAATTAAAGAGACCAGAGCAGTGGTGGGAAAAAGGCTCCAGGGCTGGTGGCTGAAAACATGGACATTCTTTACGTAAAATGTCACAGTTTATTGGAAACACGTAACTGGATCATCATTCCATAGTGAAGAGTGAGAAATATTTTACTCTAGTAAAGCCATAATTCATTTCAGCAGCTGCTCAGCAGCAATAGCTCCATGTCCCACTTCAGGTCACCCCAGTTCTCTCTAGGGGCTGAGCATTTGAGGACAAACCACCTTCCAGCCATGGGATTCTTGAACATCATCCTCCACCAGAATCCAGCTTAGAAAATGCTATATCAAATACCTCGTTGTAGTGCTCAACAAAATGCACTTCCAGTCCTTCTGTAATGAATCCAGCAAGGTCGTAATAATCCTTCTTATTCTCTGATGGCAGAATGATGCAGGTGACGCCTGCCCTCTTTGCCTGCGGGAGAACAACGGGATGGAGGCTGTTGAGTCCTAGGAATCCATCCACCTCCTAGAAATACCCATTGTAGGCAGCAAGAACACAAACAGTTGTTCAGGAGCATGATCTGCCCTTATTCTGCAAGGCGATTCCTTACAGATGGCACTAAGGATGGATGATGCTCTACATCTCCCTTAGTTCCACCAGTCCAGTAACTGGATCACCACAGATGCTCTTGCAAGGCTGGGGTCCTGTCTCCTTCCTCACAGCCAGAGACACCCCCAAGATCCCCACGTCCCCCCAGCAGGTTTCTCCCAGTACAGCAGTGACCACTGTGGTTGTGACAGTCACTGCAGAGCCCAGGGCACAGAGACAAGAGGAGAGCTCTCACCGCAATTGTTTTCTCCTTGATTCCACCAACGGGAAGAATTTTTCCAGTTAATGACACCTCTCCAGTCATGGCCACATTCTGCCTCACTGGACAATTCATGGCCAGTGATAGCAAAGCTGTTACTATGGTACACCCTGCGCTTGGTCCATCCTTTGGTGTTGCTCCCTGGGTAAAAGAGAGCAAATCATCACAACCTCCTACCTTTAGCTCATTTGTGTTTAGCAACACCAGCAAAAACCAGAGCATGAATCCTTTGAGGCTTTTTGTAGGCCTAAGCCAACCATGAAAACAAAGTACCAGAGGTGAGCAGCACAAAAGGGAGAGAGCATCAAGAGATGCAAACCAGTGGAGGACAAACCTGAAAATCACTCAAGGCAGAAGAGAACATTCACTTTAGAAAGCCCAATAAAATCTAGGCCTGAACTAGTGCCAGACTGGATTTATCTGAGATCAAACTCAGGCTGACAGGAGTGCTTTCATGGGATCCAGAAGAAAATGCCTTTATCCCCCCCCTGGTTTTACCGCTAAAAGGGTATCCTGCACACAAATGAAGTGCTTCCCAGCTTCATGTCTAGGGGAGCAAGCAGCCTGGCTGCTATGCATGCTCTGTGTACTCTGCATCAGTTTACCTCTGGCACATGCAAGTGGATATGGGAAGACATGAGGAAGTCATTGTTGGGGTCCTTCTGCATCAGAAAGGCTCTTGCAAATGTGTAAGCTATCTTGGCACTCTCTTTCATTACGTCTCCCAGTTGCCCCGTTACTTCAAGGGACCCATCCTTGTTTTCCTTGTCTTTGGGTCGCCTCAGGGATGTTTCAACAAACAGAGTGGAACCTCCTAAAGAAAGAAAAGACAAAGCCAACATCCTGAGAAAAAGCTGAAAGGAAAAATGAGAAGGTTTTAGTGATGCAGAAGCAATGGCAGGAGTTTGGAACTGGGGCTCTCTGCTGAGACATCATTTCCCTCTTCAATTCCACCCAGTGTCAATTAGAGGACGCAGGAGTCGTATCCTCTGCTGTATTTCCCCAAGTTCCTAGGGAAGTAATGCAGGGAAGCCTCAGCCCTGCCTTAAGCCAGAATGGCACCTCCTGCTTTTAAGGGAGCAGACAAGGTCTTGTCCTCTCTGAACAGGCTTATGCCTTTAGTCACTGCTGTTCCCAATGTATATGCTTCATATGGGATATGGAGCATAAAGTGAAAATGTGCTGGCCTGAGGCTAAAGTGAACCTGGGGAAAGGGAATAAGAAAGGGCCTCTTGTTCAGGGAAGAAGGAGTCAGGATCTAAAAAGGCCACATGAGTTAATGGTGCTGGTAGAAGTTCACTGGCTTCAGTTTGACTATCATATTCCATCTGGAAGATCATAAATGTAGGCATTAACCCAAGTCATTCTGTCTCACCCATCGCTGTCCAGGCCAGACCCATCACCACTCCTGGAGGAGTGGTTTCATACATGCGATCCACGGTGAAGATGGGCTTTCCTACAAAGTCCTGCAGGTTCTCAGGTGTCACTTGCACCGTCTCTGCTTCTCCACTCACAATCTTATAGGCGGATTTCCTCAATACCTGGGTGAGACAGTGATTTCTTTCTGTAGGAGGAGCTGAGGAGGCTGAAGCACAATGGTCACGGTGACACACAACTTTCCCCTCACCTTTTCCACTTGTTTCTGCAGATTCCTCACCCCGCTCTCTCTGCAGTACTGCTTGATGAGCAGAGTCAGGACATCGGATGTGATTTTGGCTTTGTTTTCATCCAAGCCACACAGAACTCGTGCTTGAGGGACCAAGTACCTCTGAAAGAAACAATGCCCCACATCCTTCCCTTAGTTGTCTGACAAAAGCCTGATGGTTCCAATTCACCACTTCATTATGCCCAATGCCATTTGCTGGAATCCACAGCCCATGGAACACTGGAGTTCCTTTAACTGGGTGTTCAAATCAGAGGAACTCTGTCCAAAATGCCCCATGTCTGGGTTTTTCTGGACACAGCTGCATGTAACTATTTAAGCCTGAATGTGAATTATCAGATGTGATTAAACAGTGCATCAGTGGCTTCTCTTACCTCTGCAATTGCAAGTTTCTCTTCTGCTACGTATCCTGATACGTTGATCACTTCCATTCTATCCCGCAGCGGTTCTGGAATGGTTTCTGTTACATTGGCAGTACAAATGAAAAGAACCTGGAAGCATTACAAGATCCTATTAAGGATTTTCATTAACCTGCTGCTTTACTCAAAGCAACAGTCCTTCAGATGTGTGTTTTTCTGTCTGAAAGGTGGGAGCACTCGTGTCTCAATCCCGTCTAACTAAACCATCAGCATCTTTTCATGGACAGGAGATCTCTGCAGTGATTCACATTCACACGTTCCAGCTCCATGGCCTTTGCACAAGAGAGAAATACCTTTGATAGATCCACAGGAACATCAAGATAATGATCCAGGAAGTTCGAGTTCTGTTCTGGGTCCAAGAGCTCTAGGAGGGCTGAGGATGGATCCCCCTGATATCCTCTTCCTATTTTATCCACCTATGGGAGAAAAACCTTAAAAGCTCCAGGAAGTTTTAGACCACAGTAAATTCTCATGCGAAGATTCTTTCATGGCTCCATCTGAAAACCTTCATGTGTCTGTTCAGAAACAGCCACTACCAGCCTGGCAGTTTTGGGGCATTCACCCAAGTCCCCACTAGGCCACTACATGAGCATAACACATCTGAGGAGACACAGATTTTAACGGTATTGTAGAGGAGCACTACAAGGTGCTGGCTTGTATCGGTTCCCTAATATGTGAGCCCAGAAATCCTTTTTACTCTGCCCAAGGTGCAAAGTGCCCATACACAGGTGCTTGTCTCAGCTCTGGTAGCGACTCTGCTGCTTTCACAGAACCACAGGGTCCCTGAGGCTGGTAGGGACTTCTCAAAGGCATCTGCGCAGAGAAGCTGTGAGGGTACTCAGAGAAGCTGTGGCTGCCCCATCCCTGGCAGTGTTCAAGGCCAGGTTGGATCTGGAGGAGCTTTAAGGTCCCTTCCAACCCAAACCTCTCTGTGGTTCCATGATCTTGTCCAGCCCCACTGCTCTGGATGTGAGCACCTAGAGCCAGCTGCCCAGGACCATGTCCAAGGTTGTTGCCTCTTTCAGGGTCCTTCATGTCCTCAGGAGAGGCCAAACCAGGCCTGCTCTCCATTGCTTTTTCTCCTGAGGTATTAACTAGATGGACGTAACAGTTTGCTACTGCAGCCAAAACAAGGCTCTTCACCACCACCACTTTAGAAGTGCTATGACCTAAGGGTTTCATTACCTTTCAAATCAAGATATTAATTGGTTCCATTACACTGCAACTCTTTACCCAGTGTCTTGGTCCCTCTATATCATTCCCATCTTCTGTTGGTCTTTCCCAACCATGGCACACAAGGAAGCTAGAGATAACTTCAGTCTATCCCAAACACCTGCTATTATGTCCTGTCCTTATTTGATTTTCCACAGGCTGGTAGCCCTGACTCATTTATTCTCAAATCAGACCACAAACTGTCTGTAAGCATCTTATTCCTTAGAGTCTTGCTTTAGATCTGCTGAGAGAGTGACTCTCTCTGATAATCTTTAGTTTTGTGCACACTGATGCACCCACAGCGAGGCAGGGAAGAGAAAACAAACAGGTCTTTGTGTCACTGTCACCCAAAGAGCTTGAGACCCCAGCACCACGTAATTAACAGCCCCAGAGCTGGGATTCTGGGGAGAGTTGCTGCTTCACTTTTCCTATTTGGGTCAAGAGCTGATCCGGGAGAGAAAACTAGCAGAAAGATCAGATACATTACCTCATCGATCAGGATAAGTGGATTCTCTGTCTTGGTCTTCTTCAGGCACTGGATGATTTTTCCTGGCATAGCTCCCACGTATGTTCTCCTGTTTTATCAGAGACTGTATTTAGGGAACCATTGTAGAGTACACATCACACAACACAATGCAGCTGATGGAACAGGTATATCCTGCTGGGAAACAAGTCTACCCATCACCATACTAAGCACCAAGACCCATTGAGTCTGTTCCTAGTAGAGATCAGACATGAATTTTGGCAGTTTTTATCTTCAGTTTTAACCACTTTTAAATTAGAGGGAAGAGGCAATGCTGAGAACAGAGCTGTTTGAACAGTGACATCTGAACATGTGAATGATCCTGTTCAATCTGCCACTATTATCCAGTGCTGGCATCTATAGACAGACATGAATTAGCAATTGACATTAGTCCAACGCTTTTGGGTAGCTCACACAGCTTTTCAAAGATCTTCCATAAGCATACACAAGAAACAGAGAGCAACTGTACTTAAGAGACACAAACAGGATTTATATTCCAAACTCCACCCTGTGCTCTCCTTTTTCTCCTATATTTCAACTCCTGCCAGCAAGGGTTGGCAGAACAGAGATGTAAATTACATCAAGTTCAGCTGGGTTCCCATGCTGACCACATTAGTAACAAGTGCTGGATAGAGAAACTGCTCAAGTTACACTGACCTGTGTCCTTTTATTTCTGCTACATCCGTCATCCCTCCCACACTGAAGCGGAAGTACTCTCTGTTCAGGGCTCTGGCAATGGAACGGGCAATGCTGGTTTTGCCAACGCCAGGGGGGCCATAGAAACACAGGATCTTCCCCTGGGTGGACCCTCGCAGCTGGCTGACTGCTATGAACTCCTGCGGAGCAGATGAAGAGCCAGAGTGAACAGAGGGCAACTGCCCCAACACCAAAACACACTTACCAGGTCAAGCACCGATTACAGAATGAGCATCACACAAAACTGGTCCTCAAAGGAGTTGGGGAAGGCAAGGGGAGAAGCTAAGTAAGGATGCTGGTGCACCTCTTTTCCCTCTGGTTATTTACACAGTTTAGATGTCTCAGCTTCCCTAACCACAACAAGCACAGGTGGGATGGGGCATCCTCAGGCAAAAGTGACAGAAGTCAGGGAACAAGGCAAGCCTGAAACCCACCCTATCTGCTTCTTGTGAGGGCTGTATTTCAGACTACAAACCCTTCAGCATCCAACACAGCTCTAGGGATAGGTAAAGGCTGGGAGGCAAACATGCCCTTTGCTAACTTCTGCCCTCTTCATCTTGCAGTTCTGTGTGTTTCGAAAGGCAGCATCTTTGCCAGGCAAGCAGAACCATTGCAATACTCATTGAACAAATGGATTAAAATAGAGACTGCTTCTCTTGGACATTCACCCACTTGCTCAGCACTCGGGAGCAAAGCAAATAAACTGGGAGTATATTGCAGTTTGAAATCAGAATATGACCTTTATTGCTATGAACAATTAAACACATGAACTGCTTACAGAACATTGTGTTCTTGCACACAGCTTTGTTTGATCCATGAATTAATGCAAATTCAATGGAAAGCTATAACCTGAAATACATCCAAACTGCCTGGTGCTAAGCAGAGTGTCAAATAGGCCACACTGCCTATTCCTGTCTTACCAGGATTCGCTTCTTGACATCATCCATTCCATAATGATCCTCCTCCAGAACTGCTCGGGCTCTGGTCAGCTCCAGGTTCTCCTCACTACACTTTCCCCATGGGATGGATGTCAGCCAATCCAAGTAGTTCCGTGTGACACTGATGGAAACACACAAATGAGGGTGATTTGACAACAATCAGCTCATGCTTTCCTCCTCTGCCTTCCAAAACAACCTCAGCCAGAACAAGTGGGATATAAGCTACTCATGGAACGGAGCCTATGAAAAGAACATCAATATCTGGGCAGTCATTGCTAACCTTTCATTCTGACCTTCACTCCCTTCCCCAAAATCAAAGCTTTTTTTTTTTCAGGAAGCTTTTGCTTTCCTGAGACAAAGAACTTCCAACACAAATCCAAAGACAAGACTCTTCCACACACGTTCCCTGCAGGATTTTGTGGTGTGGGGCTGATTCCTGTCTGAGGTTTCTCTTCTCTCACATCTCATGAAAACACCTAACTACAAGAGAGTGGAGCCAAAATGAAGGGCTGAAGGAATTGTAACATGTTTCAGGAGGGGGAACGAACACCACAGTTCTTATCCACAGCACTAAGCTGCAGGAGAAGACCTAAAATGATCAACAGGTAAACTACAGTGAAACAAAGGGGATTTGGGGAACAATCCCATAGCTCGGATGGGATCATGTGCTAAATTCAGGGATAACAACTATGACAAAAACCCAATAGGAACTCCTAAGGTATGAGCTTCCCAGAATGGTATTGATTTCTCTCCTGACAGGAGAGGACACAGCCATGCACTCACTTGAATTCTGAAGAGTGATTATCCAGCAAACCCAACTTGTTCAGCTCTTCATCAATCACATCCATGACGTGTTTTGGCACCACCAAATCCTTTAGTCGCTCCCGGAATTTCTCTTCTATAGCATCCTTGTCCTCCTTTTCCAGACCCAGCTCTTTCTTAATGATCTTCAGTTGCTCTTGGAGAAGGTATTTGCGGTGGGTTTGCTTGATCTTCTCCTCCACCTGGACAAAGCAACAACCACAGTAACTGTTCTGTTCCTGGTACAACCCATCAAACGTCAACCAAATGCTTCCAAATACTTCTGTTATAACCTTTGCAGCAACTGAAAATGCTACTTGGAGACCATTTGCAGCACATTTTAATACAAAAAGTGACTCTATGACATATTCCAGCTCCCTCCACTGGCTGTGATTCAGTACTGTGAGGTTTTGTTTATGCTGGGGAGGCAAAAACCTGGGTAGAGTAAGCCAGATGTGATCTCCTTAGTGCCAGATAATGGGGAATAACCACTTCTCTCAACCTGTTGTCTACACAACTGCAAACAGAGACCAGTATGCACTCAGACTTCCTTGCCACAGGAGCTAATAAGAAGCTTCCTGTACATCAGGGCCTCAAAGTTCTTTCCAGCAAGGCTATTTCCTATCCAGTGGTACCCAGCCTGTCCTCTGGCATGGGATTATTCCAAGCCAGCTGTGGGACTATCAGTTGCTTTCTGCAGAACTTGAGGAGGTCCTTACTGACTCCCTAAGGGACACCACTGGCAGCTACATGCAATTAGGCTTTATAGTGTTGAGCACAACCTT